GACGTAAAGACGGATGCTGGAACCTGTTTGCCACACTTGAGACTCCTGATACCAAGAAATCACATAACACTGCTAGGAATAAAGCTACTGCAGGAATTCGCCAATCAAGAATGAAGTTCGAAGCACATTTGGCTCAAATGCAAAGGCACAAACTAAGAAACTTTTCTCGTACATGAATTTCAGCAATAAAACATCCAATGGTGTCCTAAGCCTGATTACTGACAACGGCAAAATCGAAGAAGATCAGGGAAAAGCAGGAGCAATGGCAGACTACTTCTACCAAGTTTTTACACAAAAGTCATCTATCCACACAGGGTCAGCCCTTGCTGCATCAGAGGAATACGGGATAGATTCCGTTGACACCGACGAAGGCATCGTGCTCAACTGCCGAATGAAACTAGATGCAGAGAAATCAATGGGTCCTATTAATCACCATCCAAGGCTTCTCAAGGAGCTATCAGCTCACATAGCCGGCCCTTTGACCACGATCTTCAAGCTATCTCCTAAATGGAGTGTTACCGCGTGGCTGGAAAGACGCCATAGTAACCCCAATCCACAAAGGAGGATCAAGACAAAGCCCTTCAAATTACAGGCCTATCAGTCCCACCAGCACTTTAATCAAGACACTGGAAAGAATCATCAAGAATAGCATCATGGCATATCTGGAAAGCAACAAAATGTTATCCAGATCACAGCACGGCTTCCGGAGAAACCTCTCATGCCTGTCAAATCTCCTCACTGCAAGAGAAAGCTGGGTCAAATCAAGGGACAACAGAAGACCCGTTGACGTCGTCTTCATAGACTTCAGCAAAGCCTTTGATAAAGTACCTCACAAAAGACTACTCATGAAGTTGGAAAGTCTTGGTATCAAAGGCAGATTGCTAAACTGGCTCAGGGAATTCGTCATAGATAGGAGGCAGAGGGTTAGGATCAACTCGAAACTCTCCTCTTGGACAGCAGTACGTAGCGGAGTGCCACAAAGCACGGTACTCGGACCTCTCCTATTTATTTTGTCTATCAATGAGTTATCTCTGCTCACCGACTCCACTATGGTCCTATACGCAGATGACTTAAAAATTTGGAGAGAGCTGAAGGGCAACAGTGACACGTCCACGTTGCAAGAGGACCTCAACAAATTGTCAGATTGGTCCATAGAATGGATGCTCCCGATCAATGTGGCAAAATGTGCAACCACGCGCATCGGACAAGCAAGCACGAGCTCCTACAAACTAGAGGGAATAACACTCCCATCTGTTCAGACTCACTTGGACTTAGACGTCATAGTTAGCCACGACTTCAAAACTACAGCACACTGTCGCGTGGTGGCTGGACGTAGTTTCAGGTCCTTATGGGCAATTCGCAGAGCCTTTACTAAAACATCCAGAGATATTTTCGCCTCCTTGAATACATCTCTGGTGAGGTCAAGACTGGAAAACTGTATCCATGCAGCCAGCCCTGGTCTAAAAGGGTACTCACACACTTTAGAAAGGGTTCAAAGGAAGGCAACATGTATGGTTCACGGCATGACTAACATATCATACGAGGAAAGACTAGACAGTTTAAATCTCTTCTCCCTGTCATGCCGTAGGCAGAGAGGAGATTTAATCAGAATGTTTAAAATTTTAAATAATGACTACGGACTGACCTATTCTCTCTTTTCCTTCCTACCAGGTCGGAACACCTTATAGGACATAGCAGGAGAGTTCAAAAGCCAAGAAGAAATCATGTTGCTGTTGAGTACTGGTTCTCACACCGAGTCATAAACTCTTGGAACCGATTCCCAGAAGAGGTGGTGTCTGCAAAGTCAACTGATTCGTTCAAGAAGGGTTTGGACAACCACAGAAATTTACTAGAAAATAGTTCACACATGCTCAGGGCCTGGTATCGTCAACCAATACGTCTGAAATCTGAATCTGTAATATTGGCTATACTAGGCAAAAATGTATCCCTTTAGCATTAAATTAGCTGAAATATTTCTGCAACACCAGCTATTTTAGAGGCCAGAGAGCGGCATACTGCAGATAGGTGTAGATTAACCTCAGAATTTTTCCGACCACGGATGTCCTTCTGTTAAATGATACTGAAGTATTTTTGTGAACAAATTTGAGGTAAGAGAGTCACTACTGAGTACCTCCTGTTATAATTAACTGTGACAAATTTCATCCTATCACCTCATCAGTGGCACAAGGACATCAGGGTAATCATTCTAACAATCATGTTCACTCGCGTTTTATGTGTAGATCAAATACATTCGCGTATCACTTTATGTTACCCACTGACATAGTGGGTACGTGAAAGGAATTTTAGTAGAATGAATTATGTGAGAGTCTACATTTCGAGCGACTTTATTGCAAATCCCCTCAATGACGCTTGTTGCTGTGTTGCTATTGGTTTCAAGCGGCCTAGCAATACTCTGTCATACATATATATATATATCGTACTGATTCGAGCTGACTTAGAGAATCTTCTACTTGAACCCAACTGGTATACCGGTGACTAAACATAATTCCGTCAAAAGATTTTCGATATCCACTGATACAGGAAGGGCAGGTTGGTTGCCACTGTCTCCAGGTGCCAATGCATTCATTCGGTACCACTGTAAATGAAAACAGAAGCTTTTGAATTACAAATTCACGAATAGCCAACAGAGTACAGTCAGAAACTTGAAAGTGACATTGACTTGGAAACTGTTGTGGAAAAAATATAAATTCCTTACCACGCTTTGGAAAGTTCCTGTTTATAGCCACAAACATTTACTGAATCACTCGTGAACGACAAATTTGGACACAAGTGATAAAACGAAGCTCTGCAGAAATCACTGAGACGCCACAAACCGGAGTCAACACCAAGGATTTTAGGTGCACCCTATCATTTTCACATGAAACGCATTCTCAAGCATCCTCCTTCACGATAACTGCCTTCAGGCTTAAAGACAGCTTTTGACGAATATTCTTGACAAAATCAACACAGTTCAAGCCAAATAAAAACCTGAATCACGTCAAATGCAGCTACCTAGATCAAACGAAACAAATCAGCCAAACTCAAATCAACTAGACCGGGCAAATGTCCTCAAGGTAAAGCTGGAGGCGCCACCTCAAACAGGGGATGTGCCATATCAACGCCCGCTTCATGAAGTTCTGGCAGAGAAAGAGCTGTTTTTACGGATGATGTCTCTATTCTCGTACTAAACATTTCCTCTTTTCCAGCACGTAAACTAGGCGAGCTTTAGGGGTGCATTGACCAGAAATCTAACTCGAACCTTTCGCGTAGCGGGTGAACATATAACCATTGACTCACAGATATGTATTTATATATATGTTAACCGAGTGTCCACACGTAATTTCCTTGTGAATGAGCTACAGTGCATGTTCCTATTCTGGTAAATAGTTTTATTTATATGGGGAGCATTACCAATTCACGAAGATGAGATGATAGTTTTTTACCCAAAATACAAAGTCAATACAGTGCTGCATATTTTCACCTGCTTTTCCCATTATTGTCTTAAAGATCGTGTTTGAGTGCAAAGACAGTACATGACTTGAAGATAATTTGCAGCTTAATGGTCTACCTACCAGAAACTGACAATTCGACAACCCTCCCACGTGGTCAGTGCAATGTTAAATTTGCTGGTGTAATATTTCCATTTGTCAACCGTTAATCTGAACACGCCTTGCAGTTTTATAATGCCATCTATCCTTCAGTGACAAGCTTTTGTGTCATATGCGACTCCTTTTTTCAGCAATGCTGTTTGTGTACAGTGCATTAAATCTCAATCCACGCTATAGTAAAACGGAATTTTACCACAAATCACTTCAAACAGAAGCCTATTTTTTTTTACATATTTTGACATTTCGTACTCATAAACGAATATTGGTTGTGTTTGAAGGTGAAAACGATCAAGTCATAATGTACTGTCATAACGACTTGTTTGTGTCAAAGAAATGAAATCGATACTGTTATTATTGCTCGTCCTCAGCGAGAAGAAACGTTTCAACTCTTCGTATAACCAGGCTGCCAGTTTTAATTGTGTTTTGGAATTTCCTGGCCGCTATAATGTTTATTTGCATGGTACTAAGTGGGGAAAGCAGTGCGTCGGTGGCATAGCGGTTAGGGTGCTCGCCGACCATGCACATGGTCCGGGGTTCGATCTCCGGCTACAGACGCACTCCTTTACCCTGCTAAGCCAGTGATAAAAAGCTGGTAAAGAGGAAAGGTTGGGCATGAGGCTAGCAACCCCATCCTGTAAAAATAAACACTGCTACAGAAACTTCAAGCCTCTAGCTTGAAGCCCTATGTTCCACTGGGAACGTGAAGGAATAAAAAAAGGTGGGGAAAGCGACCATCTGTCACGACTGTCGCTAACGCATGCTAGGATGGCAGCCTCTTAGAAGCTCGTTCCCTCCTTCAAATTATCAGCCGCTTCTTCGCCTTTATGCATCTTGAGCGAAGGTTTTAAGATTCCACTACTAGTCAGGTGACTTAGCCACATATAAATTCATTTTGTTAGGAACTCGAACGCAATTTACTCAGTTGTCATCTCAGATTCTTTGCTTGTCAACTTTGTGCCAGAAGTCTGTTTTATGGACGTGGCACAGAGATGTCGCTAATGTTCTGTTTTCATAGGTCGTCATTCAGTCTTCACGGAGTGTCTGAAGTGTTACGGAGATATTCGACGCTTACATTGGGAACTTTGATAAGGCACTTTTCTAAGAGAAGCTATAATTGAATTCCATTCACTTAGTAATTCTAAAAAACCTGAGTATACTTTCACCTGATTTTGAAGCAATAAATACCTAGTGAAACTAGTAAATGGCATATGATGTTTAGTTTTTATATATCAAACTTCTTGGTCGCTCTGCAAGCGTTTGTCGAGCGCGCGTAATATAAGGGTGCATCTTTGAATTGTCCTTTGCTTTGCATGGTGTTATCCATCTCTCCTCATATTTTTTGTTGAAATCTCCGGAAGGGTGAATGTTGGATAAACTTAAACTCGTTGGTACATGGATGATTTTGTAAAAGAAAGCCTACTGAAATGGATTACACGGATAATCAAAACAGATGTTACAGACACTGACCTGAGAGATGGAACAGTATTCACCCAATTAATAGACCTGTCGTAAGTCCTTATTGTAATTAATATTTGGAAATAGACGGTATGTACCCAAAGTGACTGATTTAGGGTGTGTTAAAGACCAGATTACTTCCTTTCTAGATGGTAAGAGGTCTCATTATACATATCATTTCACTAATATAGGCACTTTCCATTCTAACGTGTCAGATTTATTTGACATTGATGGAGTGTTATCTGGCGCATCTGCTGATCTGGAGGTGTATGGTGTAAGTTGTCGTACTGTTCACTCTCTATGAGTCTTTATTTGTTCTCCTTTGTCATTGTCATGTGTTATGTTTATAATGTTATGCAATTTACCTGTTTAAATTAGTCGACCTAAATATCCTTTTTACCATTAGAATATTCGATGTCATTTTGGCCTATTTATTTATAATACTGCTTTGTCTGCATTCAATAAGCCACCAACTTTCTTGTGGAGATGTTTTGTTAATTCGAGTGTGAAACATTTTAATGCCGAAACCACTCCAGTCCTTAGTTATTTTTGGAATCGCAGTTCCTTAGTAGAAGTTGCGGAAATTCACATGAATGCTTTCCTGTCCTTTCGTTTTCAATAACAAAGCGGGTGTTTCTTAAGCTTGCCCAATTTTTATCTCATCCTGGAGATTTAAGGCGTCTTCTGATCCGTGTAGTTCATCCTGAACAAGCTACAGGTTTCTATAAACCATATATATATGTATCAGTAAAACCAATGTATGGAAATTGTTCATATTATATGACTAAATTGGCCACTAATCAGCAGTCATGAATTGAAGTAATTTTTTTCAGTATTTTTGAACTAATATTGGTTTAAGTTATTTGTTTCGCAATAGCAGTACCAAAACTATGACATTATTTGTGACTTTCTGTTGGTCAGGTCAGCTGAAAATTCACTCACGATCTTTTCCGAGGTACTAACATACCATCTGTCTGGTTTCGACTGTGAACTGGTACCATGTTGAGATCCTTACACTTAGTTTCCTACTCTAGTGTACTGGTTGAAGAAGCTAATCCTAAATAAACTTATAGACTTCTAATTACTGATCCATTTACAACATATTTCAAATCATTGTGATGTTTAACTACGTCGAAACAGATAAGCGGTTGTTGGCTTTGTTTGTCATCATGTAATCTCCTTTTGTGTGTTAGAATACGATCAGTAGTAATTAGGTTAGGCTGTTACGTAGGGAGAAAGTTGTGAATCCCTAACAACTGGAACAACTGGGTATTGCCTTACATATGTCTACTCAACTCTCTAGACGAGTAATAGCTGTCATAGGACTCAGTTGGAAGTATCCATTATATCTTTGAATACTGGTTTGTATCACTGGATTTTGTCCACTCAATTTTGTGGGAATATTTATGGTTCTCAGTATATTTCTTAAAACTATATTTGTACATTTCATTAGTAAGTAATAGCATATCGTTTTCTCTTCTCAGGTATGCTTGACAGTTTTATTAGGATGTCTTCAAAGTCCCTCTAAACAATCATTCATGGATGCTGCTTTGGATTTAACTTTGGATATGCAGACCGCTATATTTCATCTGATTCGAGTGCCTATGATCCGTCTATCCTTCCATCATGAATTCACACGAGAATTAGTCATAAACACACTTTTAAATCCATTGTCTGGCATGCAAAATGATAGTCAGCTGATTCACCAACCGGATAATGTTTGTCAAACAGAGGTAAGTTTAATAGAGAACGGTAACCTTAGGTTAAACATTCTACACACCTTTGCTAAACACCTTCATGTATGCCATTTCACTTTGCGTTGTTGATCATCAGTAAGACTACTTTGGTTATTTAAGCACACTTCAGTAGTCTAAATATCTTCAATGATTTTGATATCCTTTGTAAAAGGAGATACAGTCTCATTTGTTTAAGTTTTCAGCTGAGTTGAGAGTTAAAATTGTAACATCAGTCAGTCAGTCAGTTCTTATTTTTGACAATGAAGCGATTGACAGTGTTTGGTTTTTATGTGATTTCTGATTTTTCCTTTGCTTTATTCATGTAGGATGAAACGGGAGAACAGCCTCCGACGGCAATATCTTCAAGTGATATTCCTGATTGTCAGAAATCAGTCAATACTGCCAATAAGGATCGTGATCTCTCAGTGAACGCTTCTGACTTCGAATTTTTACGTCCCACTTCACCTTCACGATATGTTAATAAACAAACAAATAAGACGAAAGGTGTTTCAAGTCACCAGAGACCCAGTGATTTGTCTTTGTGTAGCACCATTGATTTGAATTTAAGTGCTGCATCATCTCGCCTGAATCTAGCCGGCACTCCAGAACGCAATACAAACCATGGGCATCATGGGATTCCACAACCAGCTTCACCACTTACATCTTTGAAATGTCTTTTGGACTCTCCGTCCTTGACACACAAGGTAATTTTGTGTATTCAGTTACAGTTCTTTCTTTTTAGTCTAATCTTCAGTTACTTTCATCTTGTAGTTTGTTGAAGCCAGGTCCTTTCGTGTCATTTTGATGTTTTATACAGCCATTTTTGCTAATTTCAAAACTCACCATATGTAATTAGTGCTGATAAACTACCCATTGTATGTTCATCAGTTGAATGAAATTCATTTTTATCGTATCACCTTGGAAGCATCACAATATCATAATTTTGAAGCTTTAGAGTTGCTTAAATGCTCTACATACTGCTGAATTTAAAATAATTTGGAATTCTGCTTAAAAACATGGTTGTAAGTTTTATTTAGAGTAACCGTCGTCTTTAATAGTGAACATCAGCTTTAGCTATTGTATAGTATAGTATAATATACTCTCTCTCTCTCTATATATATATGTATACATATATATGTATATATTCCTAGTCAATAGATTTATGCATGTCATCAAATGTATGCACTTTCATTTGTTAAATATCAGTCAGAGCTGCTATGTAGACCACTTGTTATTCGAAACCAGGTAGATTTGATTGAGCTTGAACCTGTGATCCTTTAGTTCTTTAGCCGATGGTTCTGCTGTTAGTCCTCGAATACTAGGTGTGTGTGGGAGTTTATTACACTAGTGTGTACCTAACTGCCGCAACCTTAAGTGATTTGGTTTTTCTACTCACTTTTATTTACAAAGGTTTATGACATGTATTTTACTATGCCCATCATAGAAGTTATAATCTGTATTGACCACTAGCATTGTTTGTAGAAAATGTAATTTCCGTTCAAACTCGAGTTGTGTGAGTTGTGGATCGTTTGTATTGTGTAGAAATCAACGGTGTCACCAAAATATCCAGTCTAACGTACCTGAACATGTTCCTAGTTTCATGTTACAATCATGAAAGATAAAATTTGCAAACTATCATGGTAAATACAGAGTTATATTGTTGTTTTGCAGCTGCAAAATACGTCTAAAATCGGCAGGAAATTGGTTTTTTAAAACATGCCAGTGCTTAGTATTGTTTTTAGTTACTGTAATATGGAATATAATGAAATAATTTGTCGTTTCGTACTACTTTCAGAAGTACATTACAATCATTCTTATTAGTGCCTACATTCAGCTAAATTACCCAGTGGACTGCTTAGTGTGTTGTTTATTATATATCTTTATAGAATTTACATCAATGATGCACTTCAGTCTTATTTCTCGTCTGAGTTTCGGTCATTTGATCTTAAATATATTGTCTATTGGGATAACAATAATCCACTTCGATGATTAGTCAGACTTATGCTTCACGTAAAACAATTTCCCAGGAACAAAAACAGTTTACGGAAAGGAAGACATTTATGATAGTATGTAAAATGTACATATTTTTCCTGGGTCCAAATAGCCACACTTCAAGTCAAAGGAATACAGCGCCTAACGGGAGAATGATTAATATATCAAGTACTTACATCTCCCAGTGTTAACTTCCTCACGAACTGACGTTTTCTAACAAACCGTTAGAAGTTAAGAAACACTAAAGGGCTGTTTCATTCCTGCTAAGGACTCTAAACACGCTCACTCACGACCTCAAGCAATCCAGCTTGAAGTGTCGGGTTGATGGACATTCAGCTGCTCCATCAGAATCAGATGTCCCTTGTTTCTCAGCTTTTGTTGTCAATTTGTGATGGAATTTATCTTCAATTCAGTCGGATCTTACCGAAGTCATCATCTAAATCCCAATTATTTGTTAATTAACTTACCTCTCATTTTGATCAATTATAAGGTTACATTTGTCCCACTTACACTGTGCTTTGTTAGATTTAAGCGCTATTGGAGCACCAAACTGCGTAGATCAGCTGACTTGGCAATTAAAGTCATATTCTCAAGTTTCATCAGAGGAGAATGCGCTGCCATTTCCACGCAGTAATGTTCTCATGAATATACGTTAGCGTGTGATTTCACCAATATTTCCGAAAACACTTTTTTCTAGATTGTTTCTTTTATTTCTGTATTGCTTTTCATATTGTCCTGCTTTGTTGTTTTGTGCGAGGGTGTCTCTCACAAAAGCGAAAGGGTGTATGCTAACGTCCGGCTCTTACAACCGGACTGGTGGACATACAGATCTACCTAAGAGAGCTAGGAGGCACTGATTCCAAACTTACGCTACACATGGGCTCCAGAATTCGAACGGATAGAATGACGTATGAACGTGTTTTGATCACCGGTAACCATGGGAACGCGGCTCCACTGCCTTGTGAACCAGGCTCCAAGTCAAAGGCCCATAGAGTGGTCCCGTAAGACAACCATAAGAGTGTGGTGCATCTCTTGGTATCCATCATGCACCAAGTTTTTTAAACTAATAAATAAAATGATTATGCCAGCATAAACTGATTCACTCTTAAACACGATTCTGTGTTGATCAGGTTGAGTGAGTCAGGTTTTTCAATTAAATAATTTGATTATGGAATAGTAGGATGGTGGGTTCTATTCTTGTTTATTAACAGATCACTTATCTGTATTTAAACATATAAATGCTTGTTCAAGTAATTTATTAGTTCTAGGTAGGCAGTTTTGAACTTCCAGGTCTGCATAAACTGTTTTGCTTTTTTATTTTACAGACACAGCTACGAGAATCAGAGCGTGAAAAACGACGTTTGTTAGCAGAACTTGAGAAGGAACGGACTTGCAGAGATGAAGCTGAAAGTTTAGTTGCTGGACTTCGAAGTCAAGTTGAAAAAGCTACACTTCGAGCAACTGAGTCAGAATCACGTGCCTTGCGCCTATCTCGTGAATTAAAGGCGCTTCATGATCAGGGCGATGAGTTGGCTCATTGTCGAAATGAATTGACACTGAAAGAAAAAGAAATTGCAAAGTGAGTCGTCGATAACTATTCATTTTTGTCGAGTTTTTTTATTTATTAGTGGGAGTTTGTTCGTTACTTCTAAGTTTTATGTATATTGTTACATACAAACTAATTTTTATTTTCAACTTTATTAGTTTAAAACAGCGTGTCAATGGTTTTCAAGACCTTATGGCACATTCCCGAAAATTAGAATTGGAAAAAATAGACTTACAGCAAGAATGTGAAGATCTTCGTCTAAAGGTAGGTTTATTGCTTGCAACTACTAACACTTATTTAACCTAAATGTTATCATATATGCGTGTATTTTTCAGGTTTCTAGAATTTCATGTCCTGCTGTAGTTTGTAACTGTTGACATGATGCTTGAGGCGACTATTGAATATTGACTCACTCTGAGTACTTGCTTGTCAGGCACATTGTTAACATAATGCCTAGTGTTATTGTATCACCATTTAATTGTCTACACTTCATATCTGTAGGGATGATAATAAGGGGAAAGGCAAAGAGGTATAAGTAAAAGCATCAATAATCTTAAAAAGTTAGATAAAGGCAAAGGGAAATGTAATGCTAACCAACAGTGAGTTACTTCATAAACTGGCGCTGTTTCTCGGCCCAGAGACTACTATGTATTGCGTTTATCTGTTTGTTTCTTTGTTTAAACAGGGTTGTAAAATCACATAGATTTACCTAGGTACTTCAATAGCACTAATAATAATGAAGCACATCATGTTCTTTCGCTCTCACAGGATTCTCGCCTCACTTTAGCGGCCAAAAATATTCATTGAGTCAGAACATGAAATGAAAATTTAACGGAAAGAAATTCCCTTAATTGAAGGAGTCATTTTCACAGATATCCGGTGCATGCTATAGGCGCTAGCAACTAGTCCGTTTTAGCTAGAACTTCGTATGCAGAAACATTTTAGTCACAGTCCCTAACGCCTTGGTTCATTCTGTTGTTAGTGATTAATTCACCCTTATCAGTATTAACATGTTCCTTCTCAGTCAATCTGCTTCACATCTAGTGACAATTTTCATTTCGTGGAATTTTGTGCACTTACTTTCATTGTCCTGTCAATTATTTTACCTACGTGGTTTTGTTTTACTACCTCTGGAAACTACTTACGAGTCATAGTATCAGTGACTTAACTCCTCCTATTGTTCAACAGTAAACTGTTGTGTGTTTTAGTGAATATAAATACAGCTTTACAAAATGCAAAGATGGCTAGGACATGTGTTACACAGATCGATTCGCCGCCTTCCTCGACGAGCAATGTTAATTGATATAGGATTAGGTTGGAAAACAATTTAGGGTGGTCAGACTTAAACTTAGCATCAATCCATAAAGTCTCTGACAGTTGTTTTCATTTGTGTAGAGGGAGGTGTAGACTTGCAATTGGTTGTGTTCTCTGAGGAGGCTGGTTGGTTTAATTGCTCAGCTTTCCTCGTCCTTCTGGACAACATTTTCAGCGCAAGTCTTAGTATAAAATGAACTGATTTAAATTCTTCATGAATGATAGAATTGTGTCTCCTGGTAACCATCTTCGTGACTGGTAGTCGATTTACATCTGTATTGATCACTTTTTATTGACTTGGATTTTGAACTTTCTCGTCACATAATTTACTTTTTATTAGTTGGTAGATTTGGTCTATATCAAGATGTTTGCTAATCGCATATTCGCTTGAGTACCAGGCTTCTAGGAATTCTCTGACACTTTTGGTGTTTCTTCTGTTTAAAATTTCGACATATCCCAATCAAATTGATGTCCATAATTATCTACATGCATTGATATAAAAGAATATGTATCATGTCTTTTCACCACTAATTTGTGTTCCTGGATTCTGATTCGAAAGAGACGCCCACTTTGGTCGATGTAATGTCTGTTACAGTTCATACAATTTATTTTGTAAATGGTATTAATTTTATCTTCTTTTTCTGTTGGATCTTTCGGTTTGCACAATATCGAATAAAGTGATTGGACTGGCTTGTGTGCTATGCCTATTTCAAACGGTTCCAATATTCTAGCTGTTATTTCAGAGATATTTTTTATTTGCGGTAGGATGAATTTTCTTGTAGTCTTTGATGATGGTTTCTTGTTGGTGTTGTGACTCGATTTTAGACACTTTTTGATGAAATTGTGAGGATATCCATTCTTTTCGAAGACAGTTGGGGTTGCCTGGTTGGGGTCTTCGGGATTCTAAGAACCACTGGCTTTGATACTGTTGGTCATAGGGCTCTAAACCATTCTCAGTGGGGTTGATGTATTCATTCTTTGTAATCTACCAGATCCATTCAATCCTTCTTCCGTTTTCTATTCTCCCCACATTTCTGCTCATTATAGTCCCTTTGAATTTCTTTTTTCCCTCATTAGAATCAACATTAAATAGTTGCACTGTTGGTTAGCTATATCATATTTAGTATACAAAGCTACGTCCAAACTCATGTCTCACTGGTTAAAATACGATTCTACATGAGGTGATAGTGATTGTATGCTTGAGATTTGGTAATTTAATAAAGGGTAACTAAAGTGTTCAGAATCTTGATAATAAGAAGGGGAGAACCTGTCCGTGTCATTGTGAACGGTTTTAAGCCATATTGATTCTGTGGTGTTATTTATGTCTCTGCTTTGTATATGTGTTGAAAATTCGAAGGTTGAAGTTCATTGTCTGGACTCGGGACTATTATTTCAGAGCTAGTTACTGCTTCTTCGGACTGGTGAAGTAGCAGTGTCCCATAGATCTAACGGCAATTTTTACTCCAAATAGATACCAGTCAAATGATCACTCATGTTTATCTCTCTCATTCTTAAAATCTGAAAATTAGATATGTGAAATTTTGTCGAGGGTCAAAGACATTACTTAGAGTCTACTTTACTGCTTGTTACGTATGCCTAGTCATCGCCTTCCTCGACGGGCAATGTTGGCTGATATAGGATCAGGCTGGAAAAGAGCTAGCGGCGGTCAAACGGAAACATGGTTTCACCAGTCAATGAAATCTACAACAGTTAGTCTAAGCCAAGTAGGAAGGTGTAGACTTCCTGGTTGGGGTCCTCGGGACGGTAAAAACCAATGGTTGGAAACAATTGGTGAAATGGCCCAAAATCGTTCTCAATGGTGCAGATGCATCCACTCCTTGTGACTTATGATTTCCAATTAAACTGTTTTATTCTTCGTTATTACTATACCTTTGTCTCACACCTCTGTTTACTGTCTCTAATATGCATTTCTCCTACTTTCTTCTCTTGCTTTATGTGCTACATGGAGTGTGGCGACTTGAACTGCCGCACATATGTGCAAAGTTCTATGTCGAAAACAGGCAGACAGACTACTTTACTGCTTATGAGTACTAAGTATATTTTTTGTTGGTTAAAACTGTTGTATTTATCAATTTATTTTAGGTAGATCAACAGTTGTGCCAAATAAGAGAATTCAAAGAGCGACGTATTAAATGTAGTGAAATTGAAGAGCTTAAGTCAAAATTGCGTGAAGTTGAAGCTCAGGTAAGTTAATGAATGCAATTAACATATTTTATACAGTCTTCCCGTTGTGTATTTACGAATATTATCACCTTCTGATGTTAACGTTATGCCTATTTTAATGTCAAATGACATGAAGCAACATACAGTTTTTTTCTTAGGGGACCATTGAGTAGGCAGTAATATTGCAAAGCACGATTAAATTCATGGGAAATAAACCATTCAGTGGAATTGAGAAATACACTGTATGCTTATTGTACTAATGTAAGATTTAGGTTATTTTGGTATTAAATTTTCAAAAGGGTTGAGAGTGATCTTCGCCTACCGTAATTGCAGTCCATGAATGTAAATGTGTATCTACTCCAGTGCACTTGTCTTTATCACATCAATATAGACTTCAACCTTTTATTCTTTTGATGCAAGTGGTAACAGATTGATACTTTGATGGTTGTCACATACATTGTGAAGGCCTCTTACGAAGACAGGCCTAATGGTAGCCTTATTCTCTAATGATGGAATGCTTTCAATCCTCCATAGGTTTTTACATAAACCAGTCTGTTTCCTTACTAGAGGTTCGTCTTGATTTTCAAAAGAACTGGAGTAGTCTCAGTGCATTACAGTTCTTCACTACTTAAAGTTCCTTTTGAATCAAATTTTCGTTAGGTGGACCTATGTTAACTGACAGTGAAACGGTATCCTACAGGATAGATGACATCTGGTACTGAGAAGTTGCAAAGCAAAGTTGTTTTACAAGTGTCCCACTCAATTTTCCTAGTGTCTGTCAAGGTTGTTTGTCTGTGTATCATCTGTCTCACTGACATGTGGCTTCTTGGTATCTGTAACTCGGATCAACTGGAGCAGCTTACCATTGTTACCAGGCGAAACTGCTATTCCCCATTTCATGTGCACGTTTTGGTCACTTGACCATATGATCTTTTCGTAAGCATTGTGGTGTAAGAAATAGCTTGTGGTCTACACAGTAAACCATCCGTATTATCAGTCTACCAACAAAGTAGTTCTCACTAATCAATTAAACTACAATTCTCTGAACCTAGAAACCCAACCTGCTTATATATATCCTCAGCTATCACTACAATATATATCCATACCGTGTGGGGTTGATGAGGCCATCCATTCGGCGGTGGAATTCATATTTGGTTTAGGCGGGACACACATGTGACGGTTAGTGAGAATTCATTCGAGAAGTACTCAGTCATCTCTGGAACTATTTGTGACACAAACACTGGTATCTTTGATACTCAGCATAGGTAAATAGCTACGATTTCCAGGTTTTAAGGATAACAGGCTTAAGCGGGATATGTATTGTCAGAATTGCAGTGTTAGATATCGTAGTGGAGTACAGTTGTGTGGAAGTGGCACACAAAAGCATGGACATCCTAGAACTCCAAATCGCGGAGAGCAACTATGTGGAACAAAAGATAAAAATGAATGTAATAGCATCAAGGCAGTCCATATACTGTAAGAATAACAAAGCGAGTACAACTGATAATAAAATGCATTTTTGGGGTTTACAGTTTTCAATGAGGAATAGTTAGTTGATCATTGGTGTGAAGGTTGTGAATTGAAATTAAATTGAAATCTTTATATGTTGTGTGTAGAGAGAGAGAATCATTACCGAAATAGTTGAAATTGATCCATTTTTCAATTAGTCTGGTGATCATGTGAACTACTGCAAAAATTGTAATCGAATAAGTAACCAGTCAAACAAAAGATGCCAACTTTAAAATGAAAGATCATAGTACCTGACTTGTCTAGGTGATTCACTGTTGGTTACTGAGTCATGCGTTCAATTCCATTCAATATAATTTGATTTGTATATTGCCTATGTAACGATATATAAATACTAAATTTTTGAATTGTTGCATATAGAGTGTGACTAAATTATGTATATGGCGGATATGTAACAGAAATTACCTCAATTTATTTAACGGTGATACACCACTAAAATTTTATGATAATCCAGATATTGAGTGTCCCGCTTGAACTCTTGAAACATTGAGCGCATAATGTCGTATATTTGCCCAGGATAATAAATATTGTTTATTTTGATGCAAAAGTTGATTGTGTATACCTCAATGATTTGATTAAGTATCGTGGGTAAAATACTTCTATTATCAAATAAAGTATAATTATATTTTAATAGTTTACACACAATGATTATACTTTATTTGATCTAATCCACAATGCTCAAACTTTTTACTGATATTACTTCTATTATGTTATGCTATCTTATGCGGTCGATAAAGTATACGGAATAGGAATGAAATTAAAAGGCATTGATGTTATCGTGTAAATACAGTGTGTAATGTAGACGACCGAGAAGTGTCTACTGGAGATCTTTAATTCGCGGGCTTTTTGGAATGTGTTAGGAAACGCGAATGTAATGCTCATCCCTTTGTCCTTCCAATATACTTGCTCCGTCACGAACATATGAATTTGTAAACATAGTTGGAGGTAACCTAACACATATTTAGAAGGTAATGGAGACAGACTGGACATATGCGCACACAAATCTGTCAGTATTCATTCGGCTAATAATTCACGCTTTATATTTTATCCATTCAATTAATGTATTTCTCTTGTCTTCTTTCCCCTTATTCAGTTAGCTCAACAATTACGTGAACGTGAAATGATTGAAAAGGATACAAGACAACAAAATGAAATGTTATCACAACTTAAACTACAGTATTCAATGAAAAAACCTCATCCTTGTGACACGTCAAGTGTTATCAATCAGTCTGGTTGTAACATTGACGATGTAGAATATGATGTACAAGTACCTGCAACTCCATTATTGAATGGAAATGGATTGCAAAATAAAGAATCTGGTATGTTATTTAACACGAATTATTAACCACAATATTATTATTGGTTTTATTGATATTCCTTATTACTATTAAATCACATTGTGGGCATCAAGAGGTGTACCACACACGGGGTTTGTGCGAGGAATCCGAACTCTACCCGGACACCCAGACCGAAGTAGATGGTTGTCTTAAGGGATCATTCCAGTAGCTTTTAACTTGACGCCTAATTCACAAGGCAGTGGAGCCGCGTTCCCATGGTTACCGGTGGCCAAAACACGTTCATACGTTACTCGATCCGTTCGAATTCTGGACCATATGTGTACATTGGGTTGGAATCATCAGGGTTTCCTAGCTCCCATTCACGTTTTAAGCTCTAGGTGTTCGGAATCACCCATTCACTTTTGTGAGGAGCACTCCCACCGCATGAAATCAGTGAATAGGACTTACCTGGTAGAGACTATAAACGCGCGGTTACATGAAAAGGTTTCGGGCGGAAGACTGAAATCTACCCACTGTCGACCGTAGATGGTTGTTTACGAAAGCTTATTGGTACTCAACGGGAAGTCTAGCACCAACAAGTAATGAGACTGGTTGATGTCGAGTAGTATTCAACTACTCATCTCAATCAGTCAGTAGGACATAATTTCATGCAAATACGCTTGCTTTCTTGATTAACATTTACGGTCTATCTAGTAGATCATTTATTGTGATCAGATTACTTTTGGTTTCCAAAGGAAAGTGTAGTGAAAACTTCACCTCAAACTGTGTAAATTCCAAATCGTGAATTAGTTTGCAAATCATGAACTTGATTTAATTCATGACATTTATTATGAATGAATCAATGAGAAAGTTGTCCAATGTGTTTTTACATCATTTCGATTTTGGCTGGCAATAATCAGTAGGACGAAACTTGAGCTGTGTGTGATTAATTGGTCTAGACACAGTACACTTTTGAACTGCACTACTTTATCTCTCTACCGGGACGCGCAAGCAGTTGAATATGACTCATTTTGTAGTGCACAACTTTGCACATCATTCTAGTCTTTCGTATTATTATTCTCATTGTTAAGAGTTTGCTTGAACTTTTCCTTTCAATCTGATGTGTTGCGCATGGTAGTATACTTTTCATGTTGTATTCATTTAAGTATTACTTCATGTCTGTTTATTAGTGCATACAGGCTTGCACACACACACACTCCAGGGAAGCTAGTCATCATTTCTAGGCAGCAGAGATTTGTAAATGTAACCGCATAAAATACTTACTTCATAAACATTTATAAGTATTTGATTTCTTTTATACTTGTTATGATTGTTATTATTATTATTATTATTACTCGAAGCATCATAATTTATTCTGTCTAAATTTTGGTAGTGTTCTTTGCTTCTCTCCCTCTGTAATTGTTACAATATTTTTATGTGATTGTCTGCCTGCATATATTGATGTCCATGCATATGGTGTATTTTTCCGGACATCATTTTGTCGTGTATGTGTGTGTGCAATCTGCATTTTAAATGAGCGCGTGCGTGCGTGCGTGTGTGTGTGAGTCTGTGCTATCGATCAGAATGCTTTTAGTGCCTTACGCAATAGGCTGTGGAATGTAATTTGTGACAAATTATCATGATTAAATATTATCAACAGGTGCATTCATCTTGATTATTTTTCTATTCTTTTTGGAAATGCATACTTCTTCAAATCAATAGTATTCAAACTTTTTGCAACTAGATATCTGTTACACATCATCATATCCCAGGGTTCATGTGCCTAGATCTAACTTTATTTTTACTGTCTCGCCGCGAGTTTAAACCTTAAAAGGGGAATGTCATCATTTTGGAATAGACAATTGCAAAAGTAAGCAATGTGACACAATTTTATATCAGTGGAAGTTATCCCGTTCATTTCCTGCTAACAATTAAACAAAACACCACAGTAAAGTGGACTAAAGTAAAGCTAGTAGTTTAGCTTACATGTTTAAGAAAATAAGGTAACAGAGCTGTTGAGATTCAACTTAGGGTATCGCGTCCACCTTATCCTACATGCATTTCCGAAAACGCCTTCCAAATACTTCAGACCATCAATCGCCAACATCATAAATTAATACTGTGACTGTCATGGAGCTTTTCTAGCCTCATTTATTCATTTTTTGGCATATTTATCTCATGTTCCCGATCATTTCAACTAATGAATGTTCATAATCATTGTAAGTGTACTTGTAGTGAGGATTTATGCATTAATAAAGTAGAAATATGCTGGAGAAAATGAAGGATGGATAGGACATACACTGAGGAGACCGTTGAGTGATATCACGTGCCAGGTCCTAAAGTGGAGCCCAAATGGAAAACGAAGAGTTGGACGTCGGTCCGCGAATGAAATGGTGGAGACCATGTGGGGAGGAGATAAACAATGGTGAGCAATCATAGAACCAGCTAAAAAGGATGGCAGAGAACTGGATGAAATCGAGATGTGGCGTTGATGCCTCGTGTTCTATTTGGAACCCAATGAAATAATAATAATATAATAATACCAACCTACAGAATGCAAGAAACCGCACGGAAAATATCACATATTCCTTTCACCTGCAATTTATCTGTGTCATAAAGGAGAGATATAGCAGTGCAGACTACTAGTCCAATTAACCGGAAGTTTTTCCTATTTCCTTGTTGTTTCAATGTTAAGATGAAGTATTTATTGAATTTCCTTTAAAAATTGTTTAACAGACAGTTGTTTTCCCCCTGTTTTTTCCCACTGCATACTATTGATTCTAAAGTGTTGAATAATTCATGCCAAGACTTGTCGTTCTTTAAACCCGGTGAAAATTTGGGCAGCGTTTTAGAAGATGACTTAAAATCTGCACGTTTATTCATATCGAAATTACAGGTATGTTGAAAAATTATAATAATAATTTGTTTTTTAATCTGTTTGAAAATAATGCCTTTCTTAATCACCTGACCAGTGGTGATCCCGTTCAGATCTGTGCACTAAATGTGTACGTGAAATATTTGTATAATATGTCTTACGGGCTATAATATATAATTGCATAGATTGAGTTAGTGTATAGTGGTATATCTAAGTATTATTGATAGTTTTCTGGCAATATTTTGTTGTTTATAATCGTATCAACATACTGTCACAATAAACTGTATTTGAAACGTCATCAGCAAGTAATCCAGCAATGTATGCTGTTTCTCACAAAACAACAAAATCCTGATATTGCGATGTGATAAAAGCTCAGGGCCGGGGTGTTGATGGACAAAGAGGGCTATATTACAAAGATGAAATCTATTTTAAACGAACTGTTGAGATTTAAAGTGGAAAATCTCAAAGAAGATAAAACTGATTCAATTGAAAAACGCATCACAAACATATTGAGAGAGCTCGTAAAGAAGAAACTGACTGACAATACTCCTTAAGATGATTTAAAACCTAGAGAGTCTCGTTAGCGTCACATGGCTGGCTTGCCGAAAATATACAAGGGTATTCATCCTATGATTAACTCGCTGCAGCACAATGTTGTGCGTTGGCGTGCACAGAAGTTGAAATCTATTCGTCATCGACTAGATGTGTGTATACCTTGAAAGATTCATTTTATTTGATTGAAAGCCCGAATCATGTGTAGGTGTCCGATAAGTTCATGGTGTCATTTGACGTAACCTACTTGTTCATAAGTATCTCGATTAATGGAGCTGTCAATATGATTTGTCAGCACTCTAAAATTATCCCTTTCTCATTACCAAAATTTACTGTATTCAAAATCTAGTATGCAGTTAAGCAATGTGGCTCACTGGCTTAAGCACTTGACTTTCAGGCAGAGGCTCTTGGCTATGAATCATGCCCCACCTGTATCAGCTTAGATGACTGAGTAGTATGTTTCATCAGTCCTCACACGATAAGTGTGCGGTACTTAGCTTAACACGTCAAACATCTGTTCTGCTTTACTGATTCCAATCCAGTGTGACTAAAAGAACACGTGTTGAGTAGACTTCAAATCTACTTATCATATTGAATGCGTACATGTTGCCAGTCGGTTTCTCACTTCTCTAAGAAAGGATGTAATCAACTAAATTATATAGTTAATCTAAAATCACTTTTATTTCTTATGATTTATATCTGGCGTGCTCGTAATTTTTCAGCTACAGTTTGATGAAGAATTGGGATCAGCCAAACAATTATTGGAAGAGAAAACTAAACGTTTATGCGAACTTGAACATATTATAAGTACACGGATGGCATTAGTCACGGTGAGTGGTATTTGTGAAATGTATTCAGCTTTTGGGTTGTTTTTATACATATTTGAGTAGTCTCAGAGTAGTTTTTATAATCAAAGGAACATCAACAAGGAGATATTCGAAGTCAAGAAGTACTTGATAACTGTATTATCCTAGTTTGGAAGCGAGAACTATTGAGAAATTTATCAGGTACCCACAAACCTAATTCTCCATCAAATCATTGTGTGGTGTTATAAGAAGTTATCGGTTTTTATTATTCCCTTGGTTTCTGAATAGAACATAGGACTTCAAAACCTTTGCTCAAGTTACAGGTGAAGTGTAAGGAAATTTATTCATCGACGACATTGAAGAGTGACTGTGTTGTGTCAAAAATTGACTTTATTCCAGAACTAGAAATCAATGAATTCCAGCTGACACTGTGGCTTCGTCCAAAACTAGTATGGAAGAGTTCCTTGTTTTTTTTTACAGTTCTGTAGTCGATACCAGTTGGAGAAGAAAATATTCTCTGGCATTTATATTACCGACAGATGAGATCTTTTACTTTTCTATCTGTGTGATTCAATCTTTTAGATGGATGCCGCCACACAAACTGAAGTTTCGCATGCATCAACCAATTCTGATGAATTATTGTCTCCGGATTTACTGCAAACTTTAACAGTTGATGCGTGTAGTGCATCAGCTGCAGATAGACGAGGTCTTTCAGATGAGCTGGTTCGCTTGCACGAAGAAATAGCAGACTCGAAAAGTTATGCCCGAGAACTTGAACAAGAGTTAGCAGAAGCTGTAAGTTAGTTCATAGTATTTTGAAATAGCTTGAACTAATAAATTTGATTATTATGAGTGTATTTCAGTTACTTCAAACGTAATCCATAGAGGAATCAGACCATATGCGACAGATGTACTCATCCAGGTGACTGTAGTTCCCGGTAATTTGAGATCCATTGATATTCCTAACATGGTTCCTTAACCTACCCCTAACCCTAACTTTAATATTAACAACAGTAACCCTAAGTAATAACAGTATAGGTTCACAGGAAAAATGCGTAGGAAATAGGTAGAATACTGTACCCTACCTACCTTCACCGAATCCATAAAGCAAGCATTAATTAATTTCGAACGACCTTTCCTAAATCTTACTAGTTCCTGAAGGTCAACTTTTGACAAACCTTGACTTTGGTAACTATAGTTTAACTTAACCAAGAATCGGTTACTCAGCTTGGTTGAGCTTATAAAATTCGAAACCATTTAAAATGTTCATTCCGTCGAAGTAGCACAGTGGTTAGGACTCTCACTGACCATGCATATGGTCCGGGGTTCGATCCCCTGCCGACGCACACCTGATATCTATGGTCGGCCTGTGAAATTTGGGCTACCGATATTATATGCTGAAAATTCCATACTTGTACCAAAAATACTGTGTGGTTTCAAGTTATAATCAAAAAAATCAAAAAATAAACAATCAGGTTTAAGCCTCAAAAATTCAAGCCTAAGTGACTAACGACTGAAAATGTAGATTCTCATCTAACCATTTGGTTACATAATGCTGGATAAAGATGTAATTTGCATACATTTCTTGTTTCAGTTGATGTCATCAATGACTCTATGTAAAGTCGTGAATTGAATAGTTAAATTTAAGATGGATTTAGTAGGTTTCAAGTTTCAGTGCCTGTTGACTGTTGCTACAAATTTTAGCTTGTTCTTTGAATGAACTGACCTATAACGTTTATCATATGATTATTCACTTGTCATATATATACACGCTAAAACACTGACGTATGTTTTGATATTAAAACCTCTGCTGATGCAGCCGTCTGATCAGAAACTCCTATTCTTAGTATAATTCACCACATTCTTTTGTTATTTTCAAACACATGATGTACTGTTTTGAGTGTGAGCCTTCTATATTCTGAAAGGGAATTTCGTTGACGTTCTCTACCGACTATTTACGTCAATATTCACACCATATGATTGATTTAATGATATCTGTAATTAGTTATCAATGTGTAATATATTAGCCTTTAAGGTTGATAAGTACTTGTGCGTCGTCTTGGGTTTCCGAAACGATCCTCAAATATTTAATATTATCTTATCTTTGCAAAGATTTTTAAAACTGAAAGCATTTTTCTCCGACTTTTTTTAAAACCATACTATTTTCAACTTATGAAGTATAACGTGCATCAGTTTGTTTCAACGAAATCACATTAACTTCAACCTTGAAAACTAAAGTTTATTCATGACTCTTTGGTTTGTATAAATTCATATTTTCGTTCCATTTATCGCTTACATGAAACAATTAGCGTAGTTGGTTACAGGATTTCATCATGAGCTAACATTGGTTAGAGAACCATTGGAAAACCTGAAAGTACTGGACAGCTGTTTTGTCCTAGGACAGTACGTAGCCACCACAGGGGTTCGAACCCAGAACCTCCTGGTTACAAGGCGAGCCAGCTCGTAGACCATTAAGCCACTTGGACCCGATCCAATGATCCATGAATTCTGACTTCTGCCAATTCACAACATAGCGCAATCGCTAGCCAATGTCATCTGCGCGAGTATTAGTCCTCCCACCCGACCTACTGCGTAATGTTTTTTCTTTGCATTCAATGTTTGTTCTCAACGACTGAACTAACCTTGCTAATTCCAACTACTAAACGTTTGTGCAATTTAATAGAATTTATTGTATTGACGGAATAATCACTGAACTTTTGTATAACCTTAAGAAGTCACTGTGGTGGATCTTTGTCGTCTTTTTCTTCATTCATTGCGTTCGGAGTGTAACATAAGGCTTCAGGCATCTTTTGAAGTCTCAGTAATTGTGTTTTTTTGTACGGAGTGCGGTTGCTAGCCTAACATCTCGCCTCCCCTTTTTATGGGGCTTACTACCGGCTAAGTCAGGTTTAGGAGTGTGTCGGCTGGGAATGGAATCTTAACGACCTGCATGGTCGGCGAACATTCTCACGCATTAGGGTCCGTTTATTCAAAAAAGAACTATGTATTCGGACAACTCACTCAATAAATCATGATACAACAAACAGTTACTAACCAAAAAGTAATCCTTTGTTTCATATAGTGTCACTTATCCACTTTTCTCATCATTGGAATGTTTTTTATTCAATGCATTTGGAAGAGTGTTGATTAACCACTTTGAAGGAGTAATTTTATTTAGTACTTCCTCTGAAAAATCACGACACAGTCTTCTGGTGTTTTTACTTAATTTTGTAGTATTGCTAGATTTTGTAAAATTCACACCTTTGTTTGCAAGCTAGGACATGGTTTTTTTATTACATCCGTAAGAAATTAAAGCTTTAGACGGTTGACTTCCAAGCTGCAAGTCAGTCATCTCAACTCAGGTTCAATTTCTTTGGTTTAAACATCTGATAAGCATTACTAGTTCTTACATAATATACCTGCACGACAGACCGTTGACTGCAACTGTTCGAATGGGAGACAACGAGTTGGGAGTTGGTTCGAGGATAACAGGGAGGAGATCATGTGTGTGGGGGGGAGGAGGGGGAATGAAAGCTTTATCAGGAATCGTAGAGCCCCCTAAAAAAGATTGTAGAGAACAGAGTTGAAATTCCAGATGTCTCGCTCAAACCCGATGTTCTCCATTCTGAATCCAAAGGAATAATAATAATATATATGCATAATAACATAATATGCCTAGCTTATTGCTTAGTACAAGAACGCATTCTCAATTGTTCATTAGCATTTACCCCGAAATATGTTTGTGACTTCGCAGAATATAATTATGCTATAGGGAAGAAAAGAAAAGTAGAGAATTGTTGGCTAGACACATCATTGTAAAACTGAAGTGGGATTTTTGTCGCACCGAAAATGATTTTAGGAGTAATCTGGCAATCTTATTTGACTGAACAGATTTTTAAGGCCTTTGTTACAACTATTGCTTCCATCTGAGTTATATATATATATATATAGTGTATATTTGCATTTTGTGTCACTCACACTAGACTAGTAGACGTACTCTTTTTTGTTTCTTTTCCTTCCGATGACCTTGGGGGGCTGGCTAATAATATATTCTCTTTGTCTAATCAGTGATTAAAGTTACCTGCCACACTTCTAATGAATTTATGATACTGTTGACAATTCTAATTAAAATAATCTATTTGCAAGTTAGTGCTGGCATTAGTCTCTTTGTGCCTGGGTATTTATAATGTCTGTTGTGTCTTGTGTATGAGTCGAGTCTTCCTTTCACGCTTCTTATATTGTTTCGTGAAGATCTTTCATTTCTCTTCGCAACTTAATCCGTCACTGCAGTATTGGAGATTCCCGTAAAAGACATTGCCCACAATATATTTTACCTGTAAATTCCTGTCAGTAACATACATAACAGCTGTTTTTTCAGAACTAAAAACGGAATTGCACGGTTTGGGATAGTTCTTCGTTTTGTAATAGCTCAGTAGTAACGTTTCTGATTGGTGCACTGGGTGACACGGGTTCGAATCTCAGAAGGAACATGAGTTCCTTGGAGATTACAGATACACGTTGCTGACGAGTGCCAATAAGCATGAAACTTAGGCTTCCTGCTGATTGCCTCCAACCATCTAATAATAATTAACATATAGCTATTATCATTATTATTCCTTTGGGTTCCAAGTGGAACATAGGGCTTCAACAACACATCTCCATTTCGTCGTACTCTCAGTAGTTCTCTTTAGCTGGTTCCACGATTCCCCGTAATCTCTAATCTCCTCCATGTCACCCTCGCACCGACGACCCACTCTTCGCTTCCCATGTGGATTCCACTCTAGTGATGGTCCCCGTTGCGCGCGATGTCATTCGACAGCCTCCTCAACGTATGCCCGATCCACCTCCATTTTCTCCTACATATTTGTTCAGCAATCGGCTCTTGATTGGTTTGTTCCCATCCAGAGTTTCTTGTTGCTAATTCACTCCGGCGGGCTGGCCATTTCATCTTCAATATGTGGCCGTTGATGGCAGCTGTTGATAAAAGTCTGCAACCTGTTGAAAATCCTTTTAATGCCGTGTACTGCAAGTTTCTGATCCGTATAGAAGAACTGACTAACTGACTTCACATGTGTGTTGAAAATCGGAATATTCTTCTTGATGCTGACTGAGTGGAGAAGATTTACAAACCGATTCCACATTGATGAAGGCGTATCTTGCCTTTCCGATTCTGGCATATTACCAACAGTCACCAGCTACTGGTTTTTAGTATCCCAAGGACCTCAATCAGGCAGTTTACACCTCCATTCGTAGCTAAAACCAATATTTGGAGACTTCATGGACCGCTTTGTTGGCTAATATTTCTAATCCAGGAAGGCGGTGGTTCTCAATGCGCAACACGTATCCTGGCCATGTCAATCGATGTAGCTTCACACACGGAGGTGTTTAGTCACACGGTTATAGTCTTTGAGTTTTACTGCTATACGATTAATTTAGTTAACATCTATAGACCACTTTAGTTGTTTGTGCATTACCGCCTGCATTGTGCATTTTTGTTGGCACTTGACTGACTGTGTTATTTCCGTTCGCTGCTTTATTTGTAGAATGAAGAATTACGCTGTACTAAAGATGAATTAATTGTACAAACTACTCTGTGTAATAGAAATCAACAAAATTGGATTATGTTAGAAAAAGAATATCGTGAATTACAACATCAAAATAGATTATTACAGAATAATTTATTATCAGCAGAAGAGAATCTTTCACGTACAGAAACAACTCCGCAAAGTGTAGACTTTGAAGCAGCTCGTATGAATTATGAAAAAGAAATTAATCTATTAAATGTAAGCTCATTATATGTATATCTCTTTATATATTATATTATGCATTTATATTCACTCCTTTGCATTTCGAGTGGAACATAGGGTGTCAAGACGTAGCTTTGAAGTCTCACCAGCGGTGGTGTTTTTTCTCTACCGAGCGGGATTGCTACTGGCTGAGTGAGGTTGGGATTACGTTGTCTTTATATACCTATAGCTTATTTCATATATATACGTTAAGGATATCTCTCTTCAGGCAAATACATCAAGAAGCATATTTAGAGCGGAAAGGAAATCAAACAAGAGTAGTGATGTGTTATATTTTGAGGCAGCAAGAATAAGCAGTAGACAGAAGTCGAAGAAAGTGATGAGTGAAAATCAAATCACATCAAATCCAATGAAGCATACGCTAAGAAACTAGTTTTTAGAGATCAGACATTCCTTTACGTAACAATGACTTTATTTAAAAAAAGAAGTCGCATTCTTTAAAATGGCATATTTATGGTGGTATTCCACACACGTGTCTATACTTTTGCGTGTTTGATGGCATCCAGTGTGTGCTATACTGTTTCTTCTTAAAATAATAAGATGATAGATGGATAGATAGATAGATAACTCTGTTCTTTGTGTGTTTGCATGTTTTGTGCAAAACTCTTGAAATTCTAGTGTCTACTGTGTGGATCACATTATTACTATTATTATTTTTGTTGTTGTTATTGTGTATTAGTTGTCTGCAAGTAGTGCTATTCTACCTAAATAAAAAAAAAATGATTTGATGTGTTGACAAGACTGGAGGATGGTATTTACCTCATTTCATATGTTGTGGTTGTCTTTTCTTAAAAATTCCACTATCATCCAGTCATTAGTAGTACCCCTCTGCAAACGAGAATAAATAAGACTTAATCAGACTTAATAAAATTCAGTTGTAAATTAATTTATACGAAATGCGAATTTTGTCAAAGAAATGGTTTCTGGATTGAAATTGTATAATATGTATATATCATCATACTACTTGATGCCTTTCGAAGTATACACATACATACATACCTGTTCATCACATCAGTTGCACGCTAAGCATACCATCAGTCTATTGATGTGCACAACCTATTTTCTCAAAGTGTGACTGTTATTCACTCACGCCAGATACAATGTATATATATATATATATATATATATATATAATATATATATATATATACCTCTAGACTCATAAAATGCACATAAAATTTTTTTACACCTGTGTAACTGATGGATTGATCTATTTATTATTATTATTGATAAATTATTCCGGTTCAAGCTTTATTCTCAACTCAATTTTATATGACAATATGTCATATAAAAACATTAATAACTTGTGCGCACATTTGTTAAAATGTAAAGAAAAATGTAGGATGTCGCAGGAGAGGCTTAGCTTAACTTTTGCTTCAGTTTATTGCCCTACTAGTCCTAAGGTGGTCGCCACCAGTTGGAACTTTGTGGTATTCACAGTTCATATTAATCTGATCGTTTGTATCTGTGTGTGCCTGTGTGTGAGAGAGAGTGTGTGGACAGTATTCATATACCAGGCATTTGATGCATTCTTCATACTAGGAGTTCTGAAATAAAGCTGTATTTCAGGCCATAGAATGTTTCAGTGAAGTTGTTCTCCATTCAGAAGTTTTCCTTGGCAAAATTTTGAGGCATTATTCCAGGATATAGTTCATTACTACCCGTCCCACCTCGGAGATGTGAGTTAAACAAGCAACGAAATGTTTCAAAGAAAGCTTGTTTTGATAATGATGAATATTTTCATAAGGTGTATTTGGATTTCTTCAAGATATTCTTAACATTTGTGGTATGGGTATTTATAAATTTATATTAATTGTACGTCATACGTCTCATTGATCTAGTGCAGATAGTTAGTCAGTTAGCACAAAGCGACACCTTCGCCAGAAAGTTGCCTGTTGACTGTGAAAATGAGCGTTTTCATTAGGTAACCAGTATGACTTCATCTACAGCTTAGAAGAGTCAGTTAATGAAAGTAATCTACTCCATCTAAAAGAAGAGTAAGTCATTCAGAAATAAAATTATCGTTATGAATCCATTTAACCAGTCAAATCAAGTCGGTGTTCACTGTTCAGTCAAGCCTAATGTACTACATTCAAACCAAAAATTAACTAACGGTGTTTAACCATAGTCTTTGGCTATTTTCTAAAATGTTATAAATTTGCTAAGTCACGAGGAGCATATATTGTACAACAGGATTATATTTCATATTTGATCACGGATCCATATCAGTTAGAGAACCACTGATGATGACCAGTAGGGAGTACTGGACAGCTGTTCCGGCCTACTTTGGAACTCTTAAACAATACGCAGTCATGACTCCATTGCTAAGGATTGAAACCAGGACCTTCAGGTTACGAGGCGAGTTCGTTGAGCATTCAGTCACTGGCATGGAATCCAGTGGTTGACCAGTGAACGCTAACTCCTATCAATTCGCGATTTTTAGCACCACCGCTGGCCAGTGTCGTAGGTCAGTATTTGTCCTCACACCCAACTTGATAGACCTTATTGGTCACGATTTCTCACTAGGAAATCCAGGCAACTTCATCCTACAGTCAGTTACTCATGAGGATTAGAACAACTTTCAAGTGTTAGTTTGTAGGGATTTGATTGATTTCAAGTTGGATCTTGGATTATGACAGTACTGCTAACTCCGTACTATCTTTCTAAGTCCCATTTTCAATTTTATCGATAAGCATTTCACTTGCTTATTCTATTCTGTTTATTTCATAAAAAAAATTATTGTTATTTAATACTTTCGTCAGTGACAATATTTAATCTATTCTGAAATTTCTCTTCTACTGTTATGTCTTTTTTTCTTTTTTTACAGCAACAGTTAGTGGAAGCAACCTTTGAATGCCGTCGACTAGAAGCAGAACGTGCTCGTGTAGCAGAGCGTAATTCAGACTTACAACGTGAATTAGAAACGACCAGAGTTCTAGTGGATTCATTAAAACAGAATTCTGAAAGCAAATCAATCGATTGTCATTATAGTCAACCGAGAAGAAGTGCACCAGTAATTCTACCACCTGATCACAATCATCATCGTCCATATCATCACCAGTACAATGGTGTCCTATCTAAAAATGCCAGAGTTAATCAAAGACGCTTAAGTGATTCCCTTGAAGATTGGGAGGATAGTGATCATGACGAGGAGTTTTCACAGTCCCATCATATTCGATCATCTATTTATCCATATGAAATGAAACAACCAATCAATCAGCCTGAACATTATTCTTGTGCTATAGTTAATCATTCAAGTGAAGCTTATAAGCCGAGATCTGCTACTATTAATGGGAATAAAAATAATGAAAATTTAGTTTACTCCAAGCGTAAACGTCATTCAAAGTTACGCACAGATTCGAAACAGTTAAGTCGTCTGGCTTCTAGAACACAAGAATTAGAAGAATATGCTATTCGACTACGTGAACAATTCGATCAGGTAGAGATATTATTATTATTATTTGATGACTACTTTTCCCCCTGGCTTCCAAGTATAACATAGGGCTTCAGCAGCATATACTGTTCTCTAAAGTCCTTTTTAACTAGCTCCACGATCGATCATAAACTTTCATCTCCTCCATGTCACCATCAGATGATACATGACCAACCCTTGACTTTCCATTCTGGTTCCACTCGAGGGTATATTGTGTGATGTCAGTCAACGGTCTCCTCAGCGTGTGCCCAATCCATCTCTATTTCCCTCTGCATATTCGTCGGGCGATAGATTCCTGGTTGGTTTGTTGTCAGAGTTCCTTGTTGCCACTGCTTTCTGGCGTTCGCATCCTCAGTATGAAGGGAAAAGTGTTGATGAAGGTATCCTGTTGGAAATGCTTTTCATGACGTGCTAAGTCTGGGAACTGTACGCAAGCACTGACAGACATGACATTAGTGTTGAAAATCTGCATCTTGTTACTTACATTGAGTGAAGCAGATTAATGTCTGCTTGTGACATCGTCATCTGTGCTGTCACCTGTGGTTGAAACGATGCTGTCTGGAGGTGATTTCCTTCAAATCGCTCCCATTGATAGTGATTGTGCTTGTTGTTGGTTGGGTGTTTTCAGAGATGATGTTATTTGGAATTTGTTTTATTAAGGTATATCTGCTGACAGTATAATGCATGTTATTATTAATGGGTCATGTAAACGCAGAATCAAGAGTGAACTGGAATTCGAACATATTTATTTTGATCAGTTTAAATAGCCTGGCAACAACACATACCTTATACTTTCAACCTCAATATGCTACGTTCCGTTTTTCATAGTATTCTTGAATTGGTTAATTAATGATCTGCTTACCAACATTTCATCCACATTCATTTTTGGTTTAATGGTTTTTTCGTCAGCTCCATATACGACCTACATAATAATAGATAAATGTACACAAGGAATGCGCTCCACTACAGTATCGTTAATGATAGATAGTCTAGTATGAATCACATTGCACATTAATGTCAAAATTTTTATTAACACTAACGACATGGGGGTTATACTGAGTAGCATCTAACATTCAGTTGGTGGTAGTTACATTGGGAATGGCATTCGCTTGAGGTTTTTGCACACACATAGACAGAGAATGTTCTTATTTGTCTTACAACACACTTTTGTCAACTAACGCGGGTTTCTAATCATGTCGCATCATTTCAGATCAATTAATTAAATAAATTTTATATTCTTAATATTTTTGTGGTGCGTTGAAGTTTCTACAGCGGTTTGATTGATTTTCCGGGGTTAGGGTCGCTAGCTCCACGTCAAACCCTCATTCTTTTCCTGGGCTTGGGAAGGGCTAGAAAACTAGCAAGCTAGTAAACTAGATGAGGTTCAGGTGAACATAGAGAAGACGGACGTGATAAAGATAAACAAACAACCAACCAACAGTAACAACAACCAATGGGAGAAACTTGAAAGAGGTTACTTCCTTCACTTATCTAGGAAGCATTGTTTCAATTACAGGTGGTGGTACGGATGAAGATGTCAAAGTCAGCCAGCTAGAATCGGAAAGACAAGATACGCCTTCATCATTCTGGAATCGGTTTGTAAATCTTCTGCACTCAGCCAGCATAAAGAACAAGATTCGGATTTTCAACACAAATGTGAAGTCAGTTAGTCAGTGCTTCTATATTTGTCAAAAACTTGCAGTGCACGGCACTAAAAGGATTTTCAACAAGTTGCAGACTTTTATCAACAGCCGCTTTCGGCAATTCCATTTTGAAGGTCAAATGGACGGCCAGAGTGAACCCAAGGGAACAATAATACATAATAATAGGATAAGATTGCTAAGAAGCTGGCTAAGCATTCCAGGCCTGCTATGTGCCTTCTTTTCTATTCCTTTTACTGTAGCTTTGCACATAGGTATCACATATGCTTTTGTGGAGCTGTAGCTCATTCGTCTAGTCTCTTGACTTCAAACCGATTGGACCACGGGTTCGAATCCTGCTCCATCAATTGAATTTTGGACAGTCAGGGGTAACATATGTCACTAGCCTTCACACATTAGATGTGTCTCATTATCCACTTGCGTAGAAATACAAGTGGTTATTGAGTAACTAATACTACTTACTATCACATATCATTTAGTCAGGAGAATTTTTCACTTTAGGGTGGGTTAACTTCAGTCTTCCTCTCAAAATGCTCTTATGTGACCACGCGTTCATAGCCTCTGCCAGGTAAGTCATATACATTGCCTTCAATTGGCGGAGGTGCGCTTACAACTGGACTGATGGGACATTCAGCTCTACGTGGGGGTCTGGAAAATTCTGATTCCAAACATGAGCTCCTGTATCCTAACAGGTCAAATGGTGCATTGAACCTGACGCTCCTGACGCCTGTCTGCCGTCTTGTGAATCAGACTTCAAATCAAAGGTTGGGGGGGATGAACTCTTAAGATAGCCACTTGCTTCGGTCTGTGCGCTCAGGCATTATCCCAGCCTTTCGAAAAAATATGAGTTTCGTGTAGCGCATTCTCTCGGTGCTCGTAATCTATCAAGTTTTTGTTGTTAATATTAATAAGTTCTGAACACTAATTATCTCTGATGCGTGTGTGTATAGCCAATTTGTGTTTATCTCGTAATATCTTGGTAAATATCTGTCTAATCTTGAACAGATTCTGTCAGAAGAAGAAGAAGAAGATGAGGAGCAGGAGGGAGAGGGGGAGGATGAGCAAGATTCTAAAGTATGTATCTATAGGCAATGATGTTATGCAGTATGCTCTATTCTCTGTTCTCTGTACCTGCATGTCTTCTACTTACGTGAATGTAGTGTACTCTAAAGGGTAAAAGACTCTAGCCGCCTAATGTACATTTTAAACCATGAATCATTGCATTTCTTTGTGTTCTTTATGCATTTACCTTCGTTACTTACTTATATATATATTTCACTGAAATTTTAATTTTTCTCATAAACAATTTTAAATGTCATTTTCACTGGAGCATCAGAATGAATCATTCCCCGTCTTGTTACTGATGAAAGTGCATGTCCGCCTACTAGTCATTGTTTGTTTGTTAGCATTATTTTCCTCTTACTCTTCTTAATTACAAATATGATAATTGTTGTGTCAATTAGTCTTACTTAACGCCTATCTATCTACCAAAGTTTAGAGCATAACTTTACTTTTACTTCATGTTTTAACATGTATCAACTAATCATTCAATTAAGAGGAAACAGCTCATACATGAAATAATACAGATGTATGGAATATGAACGATGAGTGATAAAAAACACTTATATTTTAACTATCCACTTGAAGGGTCAATAGTGCTAATTGATTTTGAAATAAAGACAAAGTTGTTTTCCGCATTATTTTACATCTTCTGTCCAAGTTTGATGACGGACTGATATCAGTTAGAGAACCACTGAGAACTAGATGATAACCGGACAACCGTTTTATGGGTCTCTTCAACAGTACACTCCTGTGATTTCACCATGGATTGCCCCAGGATCTTCGGGTTACTAGACGAGCTAGTTGGTCGTTCAACCCCTGGGACGTAATCCAATGGCCCATGAATTCTCACTTCTAATCACGAATTGGTAGAGGTTGGAATTCCGTCCCAGTTGCTGAGTCGTCAACGAGATAGTCTAGCAGTAACCTAAAGGGCCCAGGTTCGATTCCCCCTTCCTAGGGAGGGTCATGGTTGCATACTGCTAGAGTCCTGACTTAGAATGAAACCAGCTTAATACCAATCCGTGGTCAAACTAGAAACTAATCAAATGCTTACAAACTAACACTTGAAAAATACTTTTCCTCATATTCTGTCGTGTTTTCATTAAATAAACAAACTTCCCATGCATGAAATTGTCAACATAAAAAATTGAAATTATTTTTATTTTTATTATTTTATTCCGTTTAGTTTTTTTAATGGAGTTGTCATTTAATTGCATGATGCGTGAAAAATGACTTGATGTGACTGAGTTTAGCTAGTTAGTTAATCACTACTCACTTTTGTTTTCCTGTTTCCCTTTTTCTTCTGTCCAGCATCAGTCATTGACTCAAATGAATTCTTTGATAGGTGTTTATCCAAATATAGCAGAAGCGAATAACACCACTAATATTAATAATCACAACAATAATGACAGTAATAATAATAACAATAATAAGCATATGATGACAGCTCCTTCAATCACGGGAAAGAATCATCAACATACAAATGGTTATACCAATGAATATGTTGATAATGGTGATTGTTATGCTGTTCACGAACAGGATACGGATGCCGATTCATCAGCTTATACAGACTTAAGTCAAGTTTCTCCGGTGTCACAACCAGTTGACTCAGGTCAGTGTTTTTATTTTATTTTTTGCATAAGAATATGTATATATATGTTTCTATGTTGTGTCTTGATTATTAACTGGTTGACTGTGTGTTTCCACAACGACCTACTTAAACTATTGGGCTACTTAATTCCCCGTAGAGCACAATGCACCAAATTGACTCCGTTATACTTGGTTTTAATCACTTATTTACGTCTTTAAAGGATAATCTGTACTCATGTGCATTTTTAAATGGTGTTCGACTAACCGCTTAGCCTATTTTAAATGGGACAAATAAGTTGGGGGATTGGAGCATGTTGCTGATTGAACTAAAATCCATTGAATGACACACTGTAGAATACTGTTTTGCCAGGTTGAAAATTCTCTACTGTGTATAAGTGTTCGGAATAAAGCTACTACTACCACTACAATAATAATAATAATAATTTCAAGGGTGTAATTCATTTCTGGAGATTTAAAATCAACGTTTGTTAGTGTAATTGTAGAACGTGGGCACTGAAATCCAGACTTAAAACACAGTGTCCAAGTTCTACACTTAGGTTAATGATACATATGATATTCCTTTTCGAAGACTAGTCAATAAACTCACACAACTATCACAAAGAGAAGCAAGATTTCAGGCATTTATTCCCCTTAATGAATTTGAATAAAGTGAGAACTACAGCTTTTGCAGAATAAAGTGGTACCATCATTTATTTCGTTGCCTTCTCATCAGCTGCTTACAGGCCACAGTCATTATTAAGTATATCTACAGAAACAATTTTAACATACTTGAACAGAGTTCATTTTAAACAAAAATCAATCAATATATGCATACAGTAATTATATATATATATATATATATATATATATAACATTAAACACTATTCCGAACAATAATGATCATACACAATGGAAACTTTCGGCATTACGTATTCAGATGAAAGAGAGATGAAAATATCCAGTTACCAGGGCAAAGAAAGACTGATAACTGTTTCTTTCTGAACGCACAAATCAGGTTTCAGGCGCTTGATGGAGATGGCTTCAGCAAACTTGAGGAGAATTGAGCTCTTTTGTCTATTGATAATTTTGAACGATTTCGCGACGTCCACCTCATGACCCATGCCTGGCGATAGCACTGTTTGAAGCATTTGTTCCCTTTAGACATAAGCTTTTTGGTACATGTTTATAAAATCGTAGATATGCCCTTCTTTCTGTTCTTCCAATGTAACTGCTCCCACAGATACATGTAAATTTGTATATACAGTTGGAGTTAACATGAGAAGGATATCTATCGATTTTTGATTGCACCAAAAAGCAAGTTGTTCGATAGACGGGAACCAGCTTAGCTGCAGGATAGACTCTGGCTAGTGACATACTCAGTCTTGTGTTGACCACTGCTGTAATGTTTTCACATTTATAATGAAGTTGAATGCAGATTGGCTTTTTCTCCACTGTGAGCAAATTATCATATATTTTACATTCAATGCTTAAAGAGTGGAATTATATATCTTCGTATACACATCCCTGTTACAACAAGAAAGGTGAACACCTGGTAGACTGTTTAAGAGAAATCTACATAATTATCAGTAAACTAACTTCCATCAGGCATGGGATTGAACAGCTGAAAACCGATCTTAAAAATAAAGTAATGATGACAAGGATTATGAAATCATACTCGAAACATCTAAAAAGTCAAGTTCATCTGCGTTCAATAAATCCGAAAATACTCAAATCAAAAAGTTCCAATAATTAAAGGGGGGGAGGAGAAAAATAATAGCCTGCTAATGAAAAGGAATTCTCCAACAAAATAGCGTCAACCGTGGATAAAACAAAGTGGGTGATTAACCTCTCGACGAGAGCCTTAATTTCTGATAAAATGAAAGTATTTGAAAAATGATTAAACTTCAATGGAGCTGTTAATAGATTGAAACCTGAGGATATCATGTCTAGTATAGAAGAAGCATTGAGAGAAATAGACAGAAGAACTACTGTTGAACAAATCAGAGCACAATGTACATTGACATGAAAGCATCATAAGGAAGCTAGAGACAACTTATCACGAAAAGAGACAGCAGCTCATAAGAGCTTGAAGAATGGCACGAGCTCAGTGACTACCATCAAATCAGATAAGGGTAACACAATAGTAGACATGGACTCACCAGATTATATCTACAAGGTCGATAAAGATGTTGAAACAGGCCCATGTGCAATGTTTCACTATTAGTTAATTTTCATGAAATGCATTATGTGAAGTAAGGATGAATTATTTTTATAACATTAACGCTAATTGAAGATTGACTTTAATACATTTTCGCAAATCGATTGTCATTGCTAATGATATAGTTTGTCTATAGCAAAGACTAGTAGAGACATGGTGCTAAGATGAATCAGTGGTTGTGGGGTGTGAGGCTGTGGGGGGGGGGAGCGGACTCAAGATGAATCACCTCATAAGTCCATTTCACCGCCACAGTTGTGTTCACTACTAGTCATTTAAATTCGGAGTTCTTTCTCAACTGACTTTTTATTTTAATTCTTCTTCACCCTTCATTCTTTTGTGTTGATTAGCATTCATTCATTCATTTTTCTACACTGTTGTTTAAGGTATAAAAACTGGAGTTGTGATACACTTGTGTGAAAGTTATTAAGTTAGTTACATTTTCAACTCTTCTGGGCAGACTAATATCAGCTCATTTTTTATGCATCATTGGACGACGATGTAGTTGAGTTAGTTACCTGTTTGAAGCTTTATTAATTAACTGTCTAGTCAGTCTTATCGTATACACAGTATTCAATAATTCATTCTTCTTCTTACCTACAAGTAGTATATATACATATATTTGACTAATGTCTAATTCATGTTAACTTAGGCGGTTTTTCTTCACAACTGGTCAGTATCGCAATTGTCTGCACACACACACACACACTTACAAGCAAGCGCTATAGCATGGCACATGGATTTTTATCGTGATTGTTGTGTTGTGAAATGCAAATATCAATGAATTTACTAAGTTTAACTCTTATACGAAATAATGAATTATTAATAAGTGCTTCTTATAATGTTCATTGTACTGTATATACTAGACTGGCATTTTTACTCAGTGTAACTCAACAACCCAAGTCACACCTCTTGCGTTATACTACGTGGGGCTGCCCGGCGCAAAGTCCGAACCCGTGATCCACTGGTTGTGGAAGTCGATTGCCTAGACTAATGAGCGAGCAACACCTCCAACGTAAAGTAACTAATTACATATCAATTCAAGATTTTAAACAATTTGAAATGGAAATCTACTCAGTGAAACAGAAAAATGCAAAAGATGAACCCACAATCGTGATATACCCAAAGATAGAGAATTAATATCCAAAGGAACTTTAATGAACTGAGATGTAAGGGTGGAAGAACGAGTATATGGGATGTGGGGGGGGGGAAGATACTGAGAATATGATAGATATAGGAGTTCATGAAGAGTGAATGCATCTATGCCATGAAGAACATTTTGAACCATACTACTAACATTCTACATTCATTGGTTCTAAGAGTCTGAAGGATTTCAAGCAAGTAGTCTGCACCTCCCTATGTGGTTTACACCAACTGGATTGATACCAGGTTTCGATAAGGCATATATATACATATATTCCACTGAGATGATCAACGATCTGCACCAGATCGTTTGGACTATCTTGGAACCTTAAGTTAAAATAGTGACTATCATCATTAACATCACTTGAGTCGTTCCATCAGGTCCTGTTGCTTTGCCTCATTGTGAACTGAAGGCAGTTTTCCCTATGTCAACTAAGTCTAAAAGATCGATGTCTACAACATAACCTTAGCTCATAATCAGCTTATTGTGATCTGACTATGAACAGTAGACGCTACATCTCGATGCTGCTTAATCTTTATATTTTACCCGATTGTCTCTGTACCAACTGTTATCGTCGAATTCTTGTAATTGTCTCAGCAAATCCTTTAAGTGTCATTTTCAGTTGGTTAAGTTAGACAGACTGCTTAATTCCTGTTGCCACTACACACGTTACCCTTATACACACACATACACGCAGTTTTTAACGTGTTATCCAGTACACTGATATTGTAGTTCTAGTTATGTGTATACATAAGTGGATCATGTTATTCTTAAATTCTTCACTTGAAAAAAAATAAATGTCATCTGCATGGAATGTGTTTTACCTATATCTATATCTCTATGTATGTTCCCTAACCTTAATCGATATAGCCTATTTCGTGTTCAGGTCACACTTAATCTCTTTTCAGTTCTATTCAATAGAATAGCATTTGGTATAGCTTTTACCACATTAAAAAAATTTAATAATAGTAATAATGACGATGATGATATTGATGTTGATGCTGATGCTGATGCTGATAGGTCTTGTCTGTCGAGAGAAAAAAATAGAAACAAGATCTGATTATTACTTCATTATTTTTTTGTTTTGTTTTGTTTTTGACGTGTTAAGTTGTTCAGTAATAGTGAAGTCTGTGTTCGTTTGCGTGTGTCTGTGCGCGTGTGCGTGTGCGCGCGCCCGTTATCATTTCAGCTACACATGAATGTAGAAGCAACTCTGTGTGTGTGTGTGTATTTGTGTTAGACACATTCCATTTGGTGCTGCTACCGCTGTTGTGTCACTGTTCGTTCCAATATCAGTATTATTACTATTATGATTATTGGTGTATTGGTATTCTCGTACTGGATAATTAATCATACAGTTTATTATTACCTTACTTTTTTGAATAAAAACACAACACTTAACGTGTCTCTCTATATACACGTAGCAATGTACATTGCGTCTAATTGAATTCACCTACAAGTTATATATGTATATGTTTTTGTATATATCGGCTGGTATCTTTCTGTTTTTACAATACTACCAATAATAATAATTTTAACACTATTTAACTAAAAAAATTTATTCATATAATCGAAAATGGTGTGACTATGTAATCATGCTATCTATCTATCCATTCATCCATCTGTCTTTCTGTCAATGAATAATATATCATTTAAATCATAT